CCTCTCCTCCTCTCTGTCTCTCTCTGGTGAACACGCATGCCCTCTGGCAAATTTTTAAAAAGAAAGCATCATTGTTTTATTAATGACCATGGCCTATTACAGAACCACACCCTGTGTGATATTTTCATCCCCTGACATATTGTTTGAAGCAGTTACTGTATTCCAGACACTTTGCCGGGCCCTCAAAGAAAGAAGAAAAACATACCTATAATTATAATGCTCTTACACAGAAGTGGTTGTTCCTAAAAGTTGGATTACAGATAAATTACTGGGGGAATACCAATGACGGAGATTCAGGAGAATGGGGAGATTCAGGAAAGGCTTCCAGAAAGTGGAAGTATCTGAGTTGAGACTTGGACTTACAGACACAGAGGGTGAGAAAGCATCTCTGAAGATAGAAAATACAAGTGGCAACATGAGCAAAAGCGCAGAAATAGGAAAATACCCCAGGAGACACTGATATGCTATAAGTAGCCATCTTGGCTGAAGCAGGGAGGTGGGGGATGAGGCTGAAAGATGAGTTGGAACCAAATGATTGAAGGACTTGCAGACCAAGGAACATGGTGAGCCATTGATTAAATCCATGATATTACTGTGCAATCAATACACCACCCATTGCAATATTTACGTGATCTCTCAGCTTACTGACATGCTGCTTGGTCCTTTGAAATCACTTTGTTCTCTTGGTTTGTCGAGTCCTCTCAATACCCTCATGAAGCCTATGGATAGGAATGGTAAGCCCTAGTTTGCTAACCCAGTAGATACCCACTAGGTACTGTCAGTGTTGGATGGACAGGTCGATTGGCCACACCTGAAAAGATGGTGCCTCAAGCCCTGTGGTCCTTATCCCAGACTCTCCATTCTGACCGACTACCTTTCTACCTACAGGGTCCTCCAGTGATGCGCCCCATGCCCACCACCCCCTGCATCCTCACTTAATGCAGGAACACATGGGCACCAACGTCATTGTTGCCAACACAATGCCCGCTCACCTCAGCAATGGACAGATGTGTGAGTGGCCCCGCCCCAGGGGGCAGGCAGGTGGGCAGCCTGGGCTCTACCCTGCAAGGGGTGGGGCCTAAGAGAGGAAGCAGGAGAAGGTTGAGTCTAGAGGGCGGAAATGGGATACAAATATTCTCTGAGCTGGGGGCGGGGGGGGGGGG